CTCATACGCAAGCCTCCAACCACTGTCAATGAGTTCATCGTGTAAGCTACTACCATGTAACAGGCACTTCAGCAACACTTTTGCAGTACGACCGCCAAGCTTTGGTTGTCGCGGTGTCACCTTTCACCTGTGGACAGGTCTTATCAGCACCCCACGAGGAGCTTGAAAAAGTCCGTCCCACTTCTGCTCATCCAAGTGTGAAGATTCTGGGAGACATTATTCGCAATGAACTCAGGAATGTGACACAACCATTGCTTCCAATACGTGCGGAAGTTTCTGCTTTGTCTTACGCCGATGCATTGAGGAGTCCTCAACCTTCTACCGGACGCCGGCCACCTTCTACTTTTTCACCATCACGAAGTCAATTCGCACCTGCAAATAACTACGAGAGCACTTTCCAGTATTACGTTCCGCGTGTTGTCACCCGTAAATCTGACGTATGGCACACCTCTGACAACAGGCCTCTTTGCTACCACTGCGGCGAAGCGGGCCATCTGTACCGTCAGTGTGCGTATCACAGGATGGGTCTTCAGGGGTATCACTCTAACGCGCGTCGACCCAGCAACGGGGAGCGTCCTCGCGATATTCAGCAATACCTAACAGCGCAGCAGCCATTTCCTCCTGCACAAAGCCACCGGCCCCGCTCACCTTCTCCTCGGTGCCTCGGCTCGCCTAGTCGTTACGCCACGTTCTCTGGTGTACGAAACAGGTCCCCAACTTTTCACCCACGCCAGGAAAACTGAGGCAAGCAGCTTCTGGGGGTAAAGCCGCTGTTCACCAATCTGACAAACATCATCCGCCACGACACGTTGACCACGCCGATATTTCTGTCACAAAATTTTCTGAACATGACGCAGCGATTCCCGCCGATATTTTTATAACCATTGACAATCACTTTGCCATCACACTCGTGGATACTGGCGCCAATTACTCCGTTATGAGTGGTGACTTCACGGCTGCTCCCCGAAAAGTGGTGACGCCATCGAACGGTCCGCTGCTCCGTACCGCGGGTAGTCATCTAGTGACGCCGGTTAGGAGGTGCACTGCCCGAGTACATATTGGCGCTTCGACGTTTGTCAGGACTTTCGTCGTACTGCGGGAAAGCTCCAGGCAGGTCCTCTTAACATTATTATTCCTTCAAGAATATGGGGCTATTAAAAATGTCCGAGAATTGCTGGTGACGTTTCCACTTAACGAGCATTCTCAGGATTGTGAATCACGTATGATGGCGTTGCGTGTATCCGACAATTCAGTGACAGTACCACCCCGTTCCAGTGTTCTCGTTAACGTGCTCAGTGACATCAACCGAACGGCTCTTGGAGTTGTGAAAGGCAATGTCTCCGTGCTCTTGTCTCGTCCAGTAGGCATCGCCCGTGGTCTCATATAATTGACACAAGAGCCTGCAAAAATTCTGCTAACGAATTTCAGTCATCAATACCACCACTTCATGAGGCAGTGTGGCACCACTTGCTTCAAAGAAATCGTAGACTCGAAAGCCAGCTTCTCACTCTTGCAACTCTCTTCCGGTCCTCGCGACGACAGTCAGTCTCCGGTTAAGCATGATGTGAACTGCGCGCTGTCGACTTCACAGCGAGAAAGTCTTCGCTCCCTCCTGCTTTCTTTCAGTGATTGCTTTGCCACGACGTCCAAAACCAAACAGACACCCGTCGCAAAGCACAGACTCATAACAGAGCCCAGCGAAAGACCTATTCGATAACATGCTTATCGAGTTTCCCGCAGAGAGCAAGACGCCATTCACGACCAAGTAAAACAAATGCTTGCTGACGACATCCTTCAGCTATCTACAAGCCCATGGGCATCACCGGTTGTGTTGGGGAAAAAGAAAGACGGCACATTCCGTTTCTGCGTTGATTATCGCTAACTGAACACGGTGACAAAGAAAGACGTTTATCCACTTCCTCGCATCGACGACTGACTCGACCGCCTTAGGAACACCCGATATTTTTCATCAATGGATCTACGCAGTGCACATGGTTATTGGCAAATTAAGGTCGATGAGTGTGCCCGGGAAAAGCCCGCCTTCAATACTCTTGATGGGCTTTTCGAATTTTCGGTGCTTTCTTTTAGACTGTGCTCTGCTCCCACGACTTTTGAACGAATGATGGACACAGTTTTGTCTGGTCTCAAGTGGCAATCGTGTCTTGTCTATTTAGATGACGTCGTCGTTTTTTCATCGACCTTCAAGTAGCACCTTCAGCATCTTCGTGCAGTACTTGAGGCGCTACGAACAGCTGGCGTGTCGCTCAAGCCAGGAAAATGCCACTTCGGCTACGAGGTGCTCAAGTTTCTCGGCCATGTCGTCAACAGTGACGGAATTCGCCCAGATCCCTAGAAAATACTGGCTGTCGCTGCTTTCCCAACTGCGACGAACAAACACGATGTACGCCGTTTTCTGGGCGTTTGTGCGTACTATCATCGCTGAACTTTTTCAAAATAGCAGAACCCTTAAACCAACATACGAGGGACAACGTTGCTTTTGTGTGGGCCCCAGAACAACACGAAGCTTTCTGCGAGTTACAACGACGCCTCGAGATTCCTCCAATCTTGGGCAATTTCGACGAAAATGCCGACACTGAAGTGCATACAGATGCAAATAATGTCGGCCTCGGAGCCGTCCTTGTGCAATGGCAGGAAGATATCGAGTGGGTGATCACCTACGCAAGTCGCGCGTTATCATCGGCTGAAACGAACTATTCTAACACAGAAAAGGAATGCCTAGCTGTCGTGTGGGCCATAGCCAAGTTCCGATCGTACTTGTACGGGTGACCGTTCAAAGTAGTCACCGACCACCATTCCTTGTGGTGGTTTGCCGGCCTCAAAGACCCCTCAGGCCGCCTAGCTCAATGGGGTCTCCACGTTTGAGATTTTGACATTACGGTGGTTTACAAGTCAGGACGCAAGCACATCTATTCTGACTGACTATCACGTGCTCCAGTCGAGTCGATTCCTCCTGACCAAACTGACGACGAAAATTTTCTCATGGCTGTCACAGCCTCCGACTTGGCTCAAAAACAGCGCGAATGCACAGAACTTCGCCTGATCATCAATTATCTAGAGGACAAGCTTGAACAATCACCACAAACATTCAGGCGCACGATTTAATCATTTTCCCTTCGTGACAACGTTCTGTACAAGCGGAGCTTTGATCCCAACGCTTGAACCGCCCTACTGGTCATACCATCTGTGATGCGAGACGAAATCTTTAAGGCGTGCCATGACGAACCATCTCCCGGGCATTCAGGGTTCACGCGTACTCTGGCACGTATCCTCCACACGTACTACTGGCCCAAACTGTCCCGTACAGTGAAGCACTACGTAAAAACCTGCCGAGACTGTCAGCGTCGCTAAACTCCGCCCATGAAACCTGCTGGTCTTTATACCCTGTTCAGCCAGCCCGAGAACCATTTCAACAAGTTGGCACGGACTTGCTAGGTCCATTCCCGAAATCTTCAGCGGGGAATCGCCGGATAATAGTTGCAATTGACTATTTAACCCGTTACTGTGAAACACGAGCGCTCCAGCGCGGTACGGCAAGCGATGTCGCGGATTTCTTCATTCATGATGTCGTCTTCCGCCATGGTGCACCGGCCATGGTTCTGACAGAGGCACGGCCCTCACTACCCAACTACTGGAAGACGTGATGACCCTCAGCGGCACCGTACATCACTAAACGACAACTTACCATCCACAAACTAACGAATTAACAGAATGGCTCAATAAGACCATCACAGACATGATTTTTATGTATTTGGACGTAGACCATAGGAACTGGGACAGTTTTCTTTCTTCCGTAACTTTCGCATATAACACCGCCGTGCAAGAAACTACAGCATTTACATTTTTTCCGCTTGCTTCATGGCCGCGAAGTTACTACGATGTTAGACGCCATGCTCTTAAATGACGCATTCACGATCACCACCGAAAATGCTGATCAGTATGCGCAGCGGCGAAGAAGCTTGACAACTAGCTCGCTTGCGCATTCGCTCTCAACAACAAATCCGATGCTCATAGGTACAACCTTTGGCACAGAGAAGTCAACTACCACCCCGGAGAAAAAGTATGGCTCTGAAGTCCCGTACGCCAACGCGGCCACTCTGAGAAGCCTTTGCGTCGTTATTTCGGCCCTTACAGGGTTCTTCAGCACCTCAGCGATATAAAATACGAAACTATCGTAGAGCCCAGCGTGCAGTCCTCCCGTCGTCGTGCCCAGCCGGACATTGTCCATGAAGCTATGATGAAGCCGTATCACTCACACTGAGAACTTGCTCTTGTCTTCGTACATTTGAAAGCATCGAGCCGATGCTTTTCGAGAGGGGGAGTAATGACACGAGCATGTAGTGGGTTTCTGGCTGTTGCGTGGCTTGTGTCATCCCTACTTGTGCGTGTCGAAGGATTTGGTCAGCAGAAAGACGTCGACGAACTCGCGCTGCACGATAGAAGCTGTTCCGCTGTTTGCTATACTGTTACTTGCACTGATTTTATTACCGTTTTAAGGAAAGGAATTTTAAGGAAATGAATTTTTAAGGAAAGACATCAAAGAAAAGGAAAATGCTCGCGGATATCCACGTGAGCTTGGCTCTGCCTTGTAGGTCTGGCATTACGTGTTTAGACACACCTTGTAAATATACTCTACGATGCTTTTTCTTCTCGTAACACTTAGGGGAAGAGTGCACGTCCTGCCTTTCACGATCACGACGGTTCTCTGTAGCGAACGCTCCTTAGCTGCCTCTGCTATGGCTGCTCAAAAGGAATACGAGGATGCATAGGAAACGTCTTCAACCGTGCCTCGGCCAGCCGGGCCTGCCACGCCGCCACAAATCACCACTGATCGCACCGTCGTCCAAACCCAACCACGCGACCCGGGCATTTTTTCTGGCACTGCCAACACAGATGTCGAGGATTGGCTTCAGCTATGCGAACGGATGAGTGCACTATACAACTGGGACCCGACGCAAGTGTTGGCCAATGTTCTACTTTACCTTGATGGCACGGCCGAAGTTTGGTTTTCCGAACTCGAGGTACAACCACCCCGGACAAAAAGTATGGCTCTGGTGTCCCGTACGCCAAACATAACCAGTCGGGACATATCCAAATGCAAGCTCATTGATCTCTTCGGCAAGATCATTGGGCGTCATCGTTCACGCAGAAAGAACTCGCGTGCCGGCTGCTGTCCTGCACCGAGTCATACGTGACTTACATTCAAAATGTGCTCGCCCTCTGCCGCACGGCTGACGAAGAGATGCCGGAGTGCGAAAAGGTCGCGCACATCCTTGAGGGAATCACGGATGATGCTTTCATTTTCCTCGTGTTCCGCAACTCGTCGACAGTGGCAAAAATTATTGGCTTATGTCGGCACTGTGAAGAAGCGAAAAGTCGTCACATTGCTCCTAATTTTTCAAGCCTTCCTAACACATCAGCGACTTCTTTTTGCGAGGATATCCATCCACGCTCCACTCCTGCTGCAGGTGAGAAAGTTGTACGCCTTTCCCACCGCGATATAGAAGCTGAAGCTCCAGTACCAATGCAACGTCATGGCCACGACGATTCCCCCGCGATTTCTTCAATACAGGCCGTCGTACGCCAAGGGCTCGCTCTGGCCCGTGAACAGACCAGACTACCGCCCACCCTGTCCTCCTGATCTGCCCCGAAACTCGTATGCCCGTCCTTGGTAATGGAACCCGGCGGAATGCCGAACTCCTGACAACAGGTCCATTTGCTTCTGTTGTGGACGCGTCAGCCACATTTCCCACCACTGCCGTAGTCCCTTGAACTTTCAATCTGGTCCAACTATTCCAACAATCGGCATTCTCCTGTTAGTTCCCGACTGCCCACCCACGAAGACGATGCTGCTGTACCATCGACGCCTCCCCAACTGCACCGCTCTCTTTCGCCGTCAAGTCTCCTGTCTCGCTCTCAACGCCTTCGTTCTCCTTTCCCCTCCTCCTCCCGCCGCTTCTCGGAAAACTAACGGGTGCCGCTCCTAGAGGTGAGCCTGCAGCGATGACCTGACCCGAAATTCCTCTGCTCACACTACATGAACACAACAGCCTAATCGAAGTAAATGTCGATGGCGCACCTGTGATAACAATAGTCGACACCGGCGCTCACGTGTCAGGCATGAACTCTAGCTTCGTGCAAGACTACTAAAGGTTCTCACTCCAGCTTCAATCACTGTACTTCGCGTAGCCGATGGTACGACTCCAGTTGCCAGTGGGATGTGTACTGCTCGGGTCACTGTTGCCGGACCCCATACCTCTGTTTTGTTTCATGTGTTCGAGCAATGCCCGCATAATTGGATTTTAGGACTTGATTTTCTATCTTCCTATTCAGCTGTCATTTACTCTTCTACAGGTGTTGTCGAACTTGCGCTACCATACGCCTTTGAGCCTAGTGATACTGAACCCAGCACGCTACGTTCCACCGATTAAGTTCGCGTCCTCTCTTTATCCGTTTTGTATATTGCGGTCTCTCCTGATCCACCCGTGCCTGATGGTGATTACGTCGTGTCACCCAACCCTGCCATCCTCTGCTCGCAAAACGTCACATTCCCGCCCATGGTCATCAGTATAAACGACAATGACACATGTCTTCTTCTCGTCAATATTATACTATGCTCACAAGTTCTGCCCCAGGGTATCTACCTTGCGTCCCTTGCCCCGGCCTGCGACTACCACATTTCCGCCTTAACAGTGGATAACCCATCGCACACGAGTCCTGATTTGTGTCAAACTGCTTTCGAAAGGATCTCAAAAATGATTGCATCAGACCTTTCGGCTGAACATGCGCGCACTCTTCGTGTCCTTTTCGCTTCATGCCAAGTCGTATTTGAACTTAACGACTGACCACTTGGCCAGACAACCATTGTGAAGCATTGGATCAACACCGGCGGTGTCAACCCGATACACCAGCGACCTTATCGTGTTTCTTTGACTGAGCTGCCAAAGCATACAAAAATAAGTCGACAAAATGCTTGCCCGGGACATCATAGAACCTTCTTCAAACCCTTGGGCTTCCTCTGTTGTGCTCGACAGAAAGAAGGACAACAGCTGGCGCTTTTGTGTCAATTACCGATAAATTCAACAAGGTAACAAAAAAGACGTGTACCCCCTACCACGCATAGATGACAGCCCTTGACTGTCTCACTAGGCGCGAAATATTTCTCTTCGATAGATCTTCGTTGGTGGTGCTGACAGATTGCAGTTCACTGATATGGACCTTGAAAAGACCGCATCGTATACACCTGACCGCCTTTATCAGTTTGAATTGGTGCAATTAAGGTTATGCAATGCCCCAGCTACGTTCTAAAGAACTGATGGACGCTTTACTACACAGCTTCACGTGGTCAGTATGCTTATGCTACCTTGATGACGTCATTGTCTCTTCGCCGATTTTTGCGACACACCTCAAGCGCCTCTCAACAATTCATTCCGTTTTCCGAAAGGTAGGCCTTCAGCTCAACTCGTTGAAGTGTCACTTCAGCCGTCAGGCAGCTTACTTTCCTTGGACATCTTGTCGAATCTTCAGGTGTTCGTCCTGATCCCGACAAAGTGCACGCGGTCACGGAATTTTTCTGTGCCGACCTGTGCGAATGACGCTCGAAGCTTTGTAGGCCTCTCCTCTTACTTCGAAGATTTGCGCGCGATTTCGCCGACAGTGCACGCCTACTAACACATGTACTGAAGAAGACTGTGGTTTTTGTCTGGGGTCCTGAACAAGCCTACTGCACTTGCTTAACTGACCATGCGCCTCACGTCGCCACCGATTCTCGGTCACTTCAATATATCCGCTCGAACAGAAGTGCGAACCGACCGACGCCAGCGGCCTGACACAGGGCGCCGTTTTGGCAAAGCAACAGCATGGTAATTACCGCGTCGATGCATGCGCTAGCCGTCTTTTATCACCAGTGGAGCAGTAATTATTCCATCGCCGAACGTGAACGTCTAGCACTTGATTGGGCCGTAGGCAACTTTCGACCGTATTTGTATGGACAGTCATTCACCTTTGTCACAAACCACCACGTCTTATGCTGGTTTTCATTGTTGAAAAACCCTACCGGATGGCTGGGTTCGATGGTGGGCATTGCGGCTGCAAGAGTACTCATTTATCGTCATCTATAAAATAGGCCGATAACCCAAGGACACTGATTGTGTGTCTCGTCACCCAGTAGATCCACCAGAACTTTCTGGGAGTGACGAGTCCACGTGCGTCCTGGTGTTTTCTGCATTGGCAAACACTAAAGAGGAAGCAACGACGTGATCAACACTTAAGAGAGATCATCAACCGACTGAGGGACCCCACCACGCCTCCACCGCTTTGTTTATCACCTCCTGTCATTCTCGCCACCAAAGCGTAACATGTCTTAAGCGTTCTTTGAACCTTCCATTGCTTGCCACGCGCAGAAAGTTGTCCCGCCTATGTTTTTTCCATAGGTTATATCATAGTGACTCGTCATTTTCCCGATCATTCATTCACCCTGCTCCCTACGTTTCTGATCGCGTTGGTCATGCACATAAGGTCAATCCAATACATTCACGCACTAAGAAATACCAATTTTCACCTCTGCTGTTATCCATTAACGAGTGGAACGCGCTGCCCTCAAACATCGTCGCTATTACAGAACCCTCCATTTTCCAGTCTGCAGTACTAACTTACTTAGAAGTTGACAATAATTTGTAACCACCATTGACATTTAATGTGTAACGCATGCTTAGAGAATGTTTATTGCTATTTCTTCAAATATGTTTCCTGTTATAGTGAGCTGCTTACTGTGTTTTTGCTTATTGTGTTATTAGTAATGTTGCTTGGGCTATCGGTCAGTTTGATTACTAGTATTACTCCCTGACATGTTGTTTTACTGATGCTATAGTAACCTCTTGTATGTATCCCCCCTCATGTAATGCCCTCTGGGCTCTTAAGGTATTTAAATAAATAAATAAATAAATAAATAAAAGTATGTTTGTGCTTCATAAAGGTGTTCTATACCGTTACAACATGCATCCGGTCCTGACTTGCGGCTGGTCATAATTATACATATGCGTCGGATTGTTCTCGTGCAGTTGCATAACATTCCGACTTCTGGTCACCTGGGCGTCTCAAGGACTTACGACCATGTTCGACGCCGCTTCTTTTGTCCCGTTACTTACCGCTCTGTTCGTCAGTACGTAGGTTCGTGCAAATTGTGTCAGCAACGCAAACCACCGGCCACCCTTCCAGCAGGATGCCTTCCAACCCACACAGATACCATTCTAACCATTTACAGAGTTGTTCTTGAGCTCCGCGGCTCTTTTCCTCTATTCATCAGAGGAAACAAGTGGATAGCTCTTGCCAACGACTACACAACTCGGTATGCGATCACGCGGGCTATCCTTACCAGTTGTGCAACTGACGTCACCGACTTTCTCCTCGAGGACATCATACTTCACCATGGCGCTCCTCAACAGCTCATTACGGATCGGGGTTGATACTTTCTACTAAAGGTAGTCCAAAACATTCTGCACGCCTGAGCTACAAAACGCAAGTTCACCACTGCGTAACACTCACAGACCAACGGCCTAACGGAGAGGTTCAACAGAACGTTTACGAACATGCTCGCCATGTATGTTTCGCCAGATTATCGTGACGGGGACGAAGCTTTGGCGTTCGTAACATTTGCGTACAATAAGTTTCGGCGTGACTCTACAGGTTTCTCTCCATTTTTTCTCTGATACGGCCGAGAACCCACGCTGCCTTTCTACACGCACCTTTCACCCGTACGACATCAAAATACGCTAGTGATGCAATCACTAGAGCTGAGGAGGCACGCGAAGTTGTCCGCTTTCGGCTTAACACTTTCCAAGAAAAGCAACGACTAAACTGCGACATTCGCGACCGGGATGTCCACTTCAATACTGGTTACATGGTCTTTCTTTGGACACCATCACGGTGCGTTGGTCTTTGAGAGAAGTTGACTTTTCCATACTATGGTTCATACCGAGTCTTGCGCCAAGTCACCGACGCCACGTACAAAGTCGAACCTCTGAAGACCACCGCAGCGCGATTATGTGACATCGTTTACGTCACATGAGCCGTTCTACTCCTACCAGTCGAGCACCGGGTCGGTACCTTCTTCACCAGGGGTGATGCTACGAAGCGCTGT